ATATAACTCCTCCATACTAGCACCATTTAGTCATTTGTTATTTTAATCTCATTATCCATTAAATAAAGAAAGATGAATCAAAAGTTACTCTTAAAGTGTGCAATATGCATATTTATTCATAAGACAATGATTAAAAGTAGCCTAAAGGTGAAATTAAATGAAAACTTAAGAAATTACTTTTCCATGACAAAAACCTAATTTATTTATAATTTCATATCTATTTAGCGTTTTGTCTTTAAACTTTGTAATACAGTAAGGTAATACAGTTTTTCTAATTTTCTATAAGTTTTTTTTTTTGAGTGATAAATAACAAAAATCTACACTAAAAAGCTACACCTTTCGTCTACATTATCCCCCTCTCCATTGTACACTTATCTTCTCCTTCAAAAATATCACTAGAGATAAAAAACCTACGAACTTAACTTATTGCATCATAAAATGAAATGTATCATCCCCTTCTTTATACCACGTCATATGTGCCAGAGAAATGGGGACACTTAATAGAAATTTGAACAAATTTTAAGGAATCTTGGTTCGGGGTGTGTTCAAGACCTTCAACATGTCGAGGGAAACTGATTGCGATTTTTTAAATTAGCGATGAAAAGTATCTAAAATGTGTTAAAAGTCTCAGGCAAAAGAAAACAAAAATTGTTCCCCGTAGTTACTAAATCCTTCAAGCTATGTTAAATACCACCTTAACAACATATTTATTTACCAATTTATTTACCATTTTTTAAAGTATTTTCTGGTGATTATTCTAATAACAGTAGCATTGAATTGAAAACTGTCTCTCGAGATTTCATATTTTAAATCTGTTTCGTTAGCAAATATACAGGTTTACGAAGTTGCAATATTGCCTCAGGTAATTTTAGCATTTCGTTATTTATTTTTGTTTTTCCCGCCAGTTTAGTTTGAATGCTTTAGTATATTCCAGTAAATACTATCCTTAAGGCATTGTGATCCGCAAAGAAAAAATATTCTTTTATAAGCTGAATATTTCTTTTAAAAGCTGAAGTAATCGCATAGAATAGAATTCTTTTGCGTTGTCTTTATGATAGACACGAAGAAGTTTTTTCTATTATTTTCAAAAAAGCTTATATTTTGTCCTCTGGGCCTGTATCATGCAGCAGTTTTTAAAATTTCCTTTAAAAAAACATTCCTCAAAAGATTGTTTTCAAAATTTCACGTCAATGAAAAGGAAACTATACCTGGAACTTTAAAACAAATAACAAATATAAAAATTTAACTCTAAATATCAAACAACCTAACATATACATACGAAAACAGTTATAGAACAGAAGATATAGGTCAACAAAAATAACAACTAAGCACCCCGAGGGACTTGTTTCGAATATTTTAAATTCAGTTATTGAAAATCGTTTAACTATAATAGAAAATCATTGACTTCAGTTGTTTTAAAGGAAAATTCTATAAGCTGCCCTTTATTCTTGTTAAATAAGTTAGTTATAATAATTAGCACATTCTTGAAAGATAAGTTGGTTTATATTAACAACATAGCTAGAATGGTATATAGCTATTTTCGTCAAAAATGATCAAGACATCAAAAACAAGCCGTTATTTAGATTGTAGCTCCACAATTCATTTTCTTCATAAGTTACCGATGTATTTCTTTAACATTTAAGCCTTTCTTAAGCGATGCGTTTTTTATTTTTATTTATTTATTTATTTTCTAGGGTTCCAAGCCCCTTGTTCGCTGTCGCTCACTAACTCCGATTATTACTTCGCAATAATTGTTGTTTTAGACTCAATGGAACAAGAAAGCTGGGAAGGCCGCGGTTGAGATGGGCTGACTGAGAGGAGTCTGATTTTTTCGCAGTTAATGAAAAGAATGGGAGATCAGAGGTGAATCAGAAGTGGTCATGGAGAAATCTTCAGAGGAAGGCATTGGCTCACATTGGGCTGTCTGGCCAACTATGATGATGATGAATTGTTGTTTCCTGGCAGAAAACAATTTTTTCACAAATACTGAAATTATTCACTTAACATGTGTGTACTAAAAAGAATTCTGTTTGCTTACGCTGGTGCCTTCACTTCTCACTTCCAAATATTATTATCTATTACCATTATGAACATTGGCGAACAGAAGTAATTTTTCTAAGTAGTCATTATTTAAAACAACATTTATATTGTAACACCATTATATAATATTAAATTGTTCTAACAAATTTGGCGAATTCACAACCGTAATTTAATATTTTCGCTTACCAAATGGGCGGATATATAAAATACTAATTTTGTTTGCATCTTATTTTGCATGAGCTAATCGTTAAGTTCTAAACCATTTAACATCTTTAACTGCAATTTCTTCCTATTATTATTATTTTCACAAAAAATGATAACTGTAAAACTGTTGATAGGGTGGATTCTAGAATAGCCCAACCGTTGGCGATTTTTTTATATCTCGCCAAGCGACTTTTTGAAATTTTGCCAAACTAGGTTTCTGGAATATATTTTGGGGAGATATGTTGCAACATTATAGAGCGTCTATTTTGATTATTTTTTATTTCATTTTATTAAAGATATTTAAATAAATTTGCAATAATTTAAATTGTTTTTTTACTAATAAAGAAGCAACATTGATCCAAATAATAATCGCCAACTTGACGAAATTTCAAAAAGTCGCCAAGGGGTTGGCTGTTCTGGGATTTTACCAATAAAGATTAGATACAATTTTAAATAACTACTTTATCCTAATATACAGCGCAGAATTACGCTATAATAATAATATAATGATAAAAATAATTCTCTTAGTTTTAAACTTTTTAAATAAAAAGCGCAGTAATAGCAGTACAGAAAAATACCTTTAAATTAGGGATACAAATATTATTTATTTTTATTTTTTTTATTTTTTATTTCCAATGAGCTGTACAATCGGTCTTGCCAATGAGCAGACCTAGTGCGTTCTTCAGGGGTGGTATCCACTCTTTCAGGACCACCACAATGGGTGAGATACCGTTGGTCATGTTAATTTGGACGTCTAGTTTCTGCCACACTAGATGGCAGCACCGAGACTCTGTTTGGATGTTAAAGAGCACTAGGAATTTAATTTTGAGGGAAATGCCAAGAGCCAATAAGGCACTCCAGGGATATTTTACATGCCGCATAATCATACGCCATGGCAGCTGAGGATTTTCTTCATCCCGAAAATCCGGTGTCTGGGCCGGGGATCGAGCCCGGGATACAAATATATTTATAGAAAAACAATATCGTCAGGATTTTTACTAATTTTATGCTGATGACAACCAAAACAATTAAAAATGAATGAGGGAAAACTGGATCCTACCATGTGATTTTCCAGCCATTAAAAATGTAATGACAACAATGGAACTCTGCAACACCATCATAAGATTTTTATGCATAGTAAGATTTTCAGAAAAAAACTCTGCGAAACATACTGTTTTAGGTCAACATATTTTGACCTACTATTCAATGCCTATCTTGCCAGAAGGGTAAATCTTAGTATAAACAAACGGTGGCATTGTGAAAATTATTAAAAAGCAAGAAATAACGCCTGACATTTTTTTACCGAATAAGGGTTATTTTTATTTCTTAACAACTAGACTAAAAACATCATGTCATAATAATTATGTATGTCATAATACTATGGAATAAATATTTAAAAAATTTTCCCTTAAAATTTACTTTAAAAGGGAAATCTTCAATAGTTATATTAGTAATTTTTAAAAAAAATTAACCAAAAATTATTAATCTTCGTCCCTGGGTGAATTGGGATCTGTACTTCGCCATAGTCAATATGAACTCAGAGCGTTTTTTACTTTGAATTATTTCGGTTAAACAGATAAATGTAAATTCTGTTATTTATTTTATTATATTTGTTTGTGTATGTATTTCTTAATTCATCAATTTTACACAAAACAAGACTCGCCTTAGATCAAAGTAGATGATGGCCCTCACTTTGTGAAAGATAATTTAGTATCTATTTGCGTAAAAAAATTGTATTTACCTTAAAGGAAAAATGATGTATCAAATAAATATTTATTTATTAAGATGTATTTAT